TTTAAACTCTTCTTGGCTGTCTCATATCACTTATATGCAGCACAATTAAACACTATCCCAGTTTAGCATTAAGAGATCCTAGGGGGCATAGTTTACCCCTCAAACTGTAAATGTGGAAGAAAGCCTTATTTGTGAAGGCTTTGCCATTGTGGTGTTTAGGCAAACTGGAAACTCTCATGAGAGTCCCACACTGCTCCTGTCACTAAGGAAAATAAGGATAGCACTGATCTGCTTCAATGGAGGGGTCCACTGGCCAGTTATAGGTGCCTCTGACCTCAGTGAGCCTGTCTGAGACTCTGATGCCATAATATACCAAGCTGCAACCTTTGCATCTACAGCCACTCAAGTCCCAAGCGGCTGCACCCAGTTGCACTCACAGGTCATTGGTATCCTGAAGATTTTTAATAAAATTTTCCACAATAAGCAGAAATTTAGCACTATAGCATATTTGGATTAAAGATGCATCTTTGAATTCATGGAATATAAAAGTCAGTGCCTGCCATATGGTGATTATTATGCCACTGTAAAGAAGCTTTCTGTAGATAGCTTCTAGAAAAAGCAAGGAGATACCATTATCAAAGCACGTTCGATTCAATGAGATGAGATGTATATAGCTAACACTCACTGATCATGTTCATTGGGCTAGTGTGTCAGGTATCTATCACCACACTAATGCTGTGTGATCAACAACATAAAATATCATTGTTATACAACAGTCAACATTTCTTATATTTTATGAGTTTATAGGGTGATTGAGCAATTATACTGATCTAAGCTGGGCTCAAGTAGGCTCAGTTTGTGTCTGCCCTCAGCTACTCAGCTACACATACAAGGTTGTTAAATGTTTCTGCCTATCTTGGTTAGGCTCCCTCCTATTTGGAAGTTGTCAGGATGTCAGCTAATTGAATAAAACACCTTTACCATCTTCCCATGCCAAGGTTTAGGCATGTTAACCTATACTCACACCGGTGGTAGCAAATTTCCAAGAAAAGGTGAACATATCATGCAAGTGATTTTTGAAGCTTTTGCATGAATATGAGTTAACATTTTATTGGCCAAATATTTTATTGGCCTGAGCCCAGAGTGAGCTTTACAGATAAAATAGAAATAATACCAGTTTTTCCTCTTCGCAGTCTCGCTGCTGTATTTTAACACTGAGCTGGAGATGGACATCTGCTGTCCTCGTTAGGCTCGGTCATCACTTTCCAACCTACCACATCCTAAATCTGCCAGCCTAACCCTGAATCTTAGGTAAGGTTCTGAACCTATCATCTATGGTCTTACGGAATAGGCATGTGATTTTAATTTTTATCATTTCACCTTTAAATACCACTGAAGTTAAGAACAATAAAGCACAGCCTTGAGAAAAGTCAAACACACCTTCCTCTCAAACGCAGCCATGTTCCACAAAGCAAAACAGACTAGAGATATTGAAAAAAAAATTCCTTCCAATTGCTCATAGAAGATCTTCTTGGGAATTCTGTAACCTCTCCCCAGGGAACTGAAAACATACCAACTGATGAGGAGCACCAAAGATAAAATCATGTTCAACACTGGTGATTACAATCTTGATTCCCTTTAAATATTGGGTCATGGTTTCCCACAGTTTCTGGGTCAATCTAATGAAGGATGACAGATAATACTTGTTGGAAATAAGCAAAATGGCACTGTTCATGCCACTCAGGAACTAATTGCCAGTCTTGTACCTACAGCTTTAAAAAAATCAAGGAGTGAGCCAAAGAAATAGGGCCTACTCATCTGATTTTGTTACTTTAGCCGAGTGGCCATTTAAACCCAAAATAGACGAATAAATAAATAAATAAATAAAGTTTAAAATTATTTGTAGAAAAGTGTGGAAGAACATTTCTTTTATGCCACATTTTTCCTGAATCATCCCCCTTGAGATCTTGCATATTACAATTTTATTGTGATCTTCAGTCTTCAAGAGGTCATATCACCTAGTTTATATTTCTTTGATTTAAATGCTAACTAGTAGAGAAAAAAAAGCCCCAATAGGAAAATTTTTTTTTTTTTTTAGAGAAGTAGGGTACCTAGACATTTTTGATTCTCGTGCTTAACCAATTAAATAAGAGTTTGCTCTGAAGTCGCCTTGGGAAATGACAGGCTTAACAGTCTGGTGAACAAATAGCGAAGTTGCTGTCACACTTGAGTTGCAGTCTCTTTAAACTCCAAATCAGCTGTAATTCACGGCTCACATTTCCTGAGCAGGTGGGAAAGGAGGGGCGATATCACAGAGACAACAGTCTAAGTCCCAAAAGGAAGGCTTCTAGACTTTTAAAGGGGGTGCTGAACAAGTGATAAGTTGTTCTTCCTAAATATTTGAGGAAGATCCTCCTTTAAAGTCTAATCTTATAAAACAAGTGAGGTGAGTTAGCAAGTATAAACCAGTTATTCTTAAAATGATCTCCAGTGTACCAAAATGTATACTGCTAATGTCAAACACCATTTCAAGCTTCTCTGGCTTGTTTACAAATATAACCTGAGAATTAGCAGAGTGTTAGAGTATTACTCTGCTATTTAATTATAATACCACCCATAAGGCCCATATAAACCCCAAGAGCCAAACAGGTACCTCTGCCTTATGAAGTAAACAAACACTTTTGGAATACAGCAAGTGTTTCCCTCTGATTGAAGGAGCTGGCTTATTCATGGCTCACCCTGCTACCTTGGCCCTGCCCTTGTGACTTCTGACAGTCATCTGCTTTTTGACCTTATGACCTACTTTAGTCTGCCTTTGAAATGTTTGTCTTTTTGGCTTGTCTTCCTGTTTGAGTCAGTTTCTGCCTTGTGCTGATCACCTGCCCTGGTTGTAATTCATGGTTCTGTTCTTATTTGGAACCTACCTATTCCTGCAGCCTCGGTCTATGTCAATAATCCTACCCTCTCTTCAGTGCTTGAATGCTTTACTGAATAAGGTTTCAAAATGTGCAACCCTCTGTATTTGATGACATGGAATTCTGGGAGTGATCAATAGCTTTTGTGGAGGGCTTATAGGCCATAGCATGACTTGATATGGAGTATCTTCTAGGGTAATTGCACCTCTGTCTTCTTCCATTAGAGAACTGGGCACATGATAAAGAAACCTGTCTCTCATTTCCTTAATGTTTTTAAAAAAATGAAGGAAAAAATCCGATATTTTCATAGGCCACTGACCCAGAGATCCATCTTCACTTTTTTTGTGGGGAGGCAAAAGTTCCATGGAGAATTGCCCAAATTGTGTTGTGGCTAAGTCACCTATATATATCTTACTTATATCTATACCTCTCATCCTATAATCCAATAGCCCTTCAATTCTTAAGGAACAAAGAACAAGAATGCCTTTTGTACATAGAAAAAAGAAAATAGAAGCTACTGTACTTTTTTTTTTAAATCTCCGGCTTTATTGAGATATAATTGACAAATAGAATTATATATATATTTAAAGTGCACAATGTGATGATTTGATAGACATAAATGTTATGAAATCATTACCGTAATCAAACTAATTAGCTAATTACCACATCCATCACCTCACAGAGTTAACTTTTTCTTTTTTGTTAAGAATGCTTAATCTATCCTTATAGCAAATTAATTCCAAGCATGAAATACAGCACTATTAAAATACAATCACCATGATGTACATTAGAACTTTAAATGTGTTTATCTTATTACTGAAGTATGTAACCTTTGACCAACATCTCAACATTTTCCTCAACCTTTGGCAATTACCATTCTATTCTGAGTGTTGCTTTAAATTTCACACGAGAGTGATACTATACACCATTTTTTCTTTCTGTCTAGCTTTTTTCATTAGCAATAATGCCCTCTGTGCTCATCTATGTTGTTAAAAATGGCAGGATTTCCTTCTCTCTTATGGCTGAATAATATTGTATTGTCTGTGTGCATGCATTTATTTATACACACACACATCATCAGAGTTTTATCATGAAAAGGTTTATGTCAAATGTGTTTTCTTCACCCATTAAGATGATTGTATGGTTTTCATCATTCCTTCTAAACATGTGGAATATCACTAATGTGCATATATTAAACCATCCTTTCATTCCCCAAAATAAACACTGCTTGATCATGGTGTTTGGCCCTTTCCATAATACTGATATTACTAACTTCAGATCTGTTAATATTTGCTTAATATATTTAGATGTTCCACTGCTGGTTGCATATATAATTATTATACCCTCTTATTACCCCTTTACCATTCCTTACTACCTTCTTTTTCTTGTTAATTTTTTATTTTCATTTTATTTAGTCTAAGCATATCTGTCCCTATTATCTTTTGGTTTCTCATTTGTCTGGAGTCTTTTCCCATACCATCACTTTCAGCTTATGTTTTTCTTTAAGGCTGAAGTATGTGTCTTGTAGGAAGCATATATTGAATCTTTTGTTTTTCTCAATTTAACGTTTGTTCAGCCATCCTAGTCTTTGCATTATAGAATTTCATTTATTCACATTCAAAGCAATTAAGGACATAAAGGTGAGAACTTGCTACTTACCACTTTGTTTTTGTTTGCGGACTGTTTTGTAGTTTCTTTGTTCCTTCTTTCTTATTTCTTCCTTTCTTTCTCTTCACTCTTACTTATCATAGTCAACCATGAGGAGAGGCACAAAATAACCAAGCTGCCACGAGGCACTTGTAGGTTCAAACAGGAACTCCTTTATTGCCTGAACTCCCCCCCCCACATTCCACTCGCACTCCCTGGGAACTCCTCACCCTCCACCGGGCTCTGTGCCCACAACCAGGAACCCTGTGAGAACTCAAAGGGAACTCACCGGGGAAACTCCAGAAGAACTCAAAAGTAGCAGGCCCAGGAGGCAGCAGGAGCCACCCTATTGCCAGACAGCAGGGGTCCATATACAACTGAATACACAGCCTTCCCCAATCCAGCATCATCCAGTCACAGCAATTATACACAGCTTAACTTAATTATCATCATCTTAATGGCTCCCTGGCATCCGTCACCTCTCGACCACTCCTTCTGGCAATGCCAGGCGCGCCATCCCGACTTGGCTGTGGCTCTCAACAATATTTTACGTGTTAAAGTCACAACTCAGATCTTTTATGTATTTTCTATCCATTAACAAATTATTATAGCTATAAGTATTTATAATACTTGTATTTTAATCTTTATACAAAAGTGATTTATATACTACCAATATAGAATTAAATATTCTGAAATGCATTATATATTTACCAGAATTTTATACTTACATATATTTTCATATGACTAAATAGAATCCTTTCATTTCCTCTATAAGAACTCACTCTAACATTTCTTGTAAGGCAGGTTTACAGGTGATGAACTTCCTCACCTTTTGTTTATCTGGGAATAGCATTATCTTGCTTCCATTTGTGAAGGGCAGTCTTGTTAAACATGGTATTCTTGGCTTGCAGAATGTTTTCTTTTTTTCTTTCGGTACACGGAATATATCATCCCACTCTCTCCTAGCCTACAATGTTTGTGCTAAGAAATTCACTGACAGATTATGGTGGTTCCATTCTATGAGCAGAGTGTCTTTTCTCTTTTTGAGAAGCTGATTTTGATTTTGATTGGCCAAAAACTTTTCGATTCAGGATGTCCACAGTTCTGAATTTTAAATATATGAACTATAGATAAGGTTGGCCATTACTACCCTTTCCTCCTAGTCTGCATGGCTTCTCTCATCCCTGATATATCATAAGATCAATCTCGATAATCATTTTTCTTTGTATTTGAACCAAAGTTAGTAGTTAAAAGGTCCTGGCCTTCCTAGCTATTAAAGTTATAGCGTGGGAAAGGAGAAGCAAAATGTTTCTCTCTTACTTATCATAGTCAACCATGAGGAGGATCTGCCCACCCGATATGGGTACCTCATTACCAAAACCAGGGAGTCATCTTGGTAGCTCTCATCCACCTTTTTTAATGGACACATGAAGAACATAACTAGAATTGATGATGTTTACAGAGTAGAGAGGATACTGCCACTCTTAACAGTAACCCTGGGGGACTGATCTGATCATATGAGGTGGAACCTTTGTGCCACCAGGGTGATGTGCCTATAAATAAGTGGATCCAAATTATGTCAACACAAGGCACACTTGGAATATTTTGATTTCTGCTCTGGGTTCAAGTGCATTAAAAGCTTTCTTCCTGACACAGAGAGACAGTGATTTCCAAGAAAATTCTTAATATCAGAGGAAAAGGTTGTTCCAGCCCTGGGTGGGCCTTTTGAATCCGTAAAAGGGACAAACCAAAGAAGTCTTGTTTGTCACAGACATCACCAATATGATACTGTAAGCTTAAATTTGGGAAGTACAATTTACACACACACACATGCACATCAACCTGTGTTTTCAACTTTCCAGCTCCAACAGGATTGGACACACTTGCCCTAGTGACTCTAATTTAAGAAAAGAAAAGAAAAAAAAAGGTGAAGGGTTTATTTTAACACTTGGGAAAAAAAATATTTTGTGATGGGAACCTACAGACATTACCTTTTCTCATATTTCCACTCTTCAAAGAAAATAGCCTTGGTGTTCCTAAAAACTGAACCCAAAGTGGCGATTACAATCAAGGATTCATTAAGTAAATTATGGTGCATTCATTCAACAAAATATTTTGATGCAACCATTATGATAATACTTATCAAAAGACAACATAATGCTCAGTACCAGGTTAGCACCTAGAACCACATGGACTGCCAGTTTCAACAATTGCATATAAATACATATACTGAAACATGATCCAGATACAAGGCATAAAATATTTATTTATATTTAAAATATTTATTTATATTTTTACAAATAGTTGAGTTACAAATGACTTTCATTTTGTTACTCAGAAGCTTTCAAGTTCTCTTCTAAAATTGTATTCATCTTTTTTTCTTTAGAATAAAAAAAATAAATGAAGGTCAGAATAAGGAGCAATCACTTCCAAATAAAATAAAATAATCCAAGTTTAAGACACCTGCTCTTCCAGTCATGGCAGTAGAATTTATGCCTCTGGGGGAATCATCAGAACAATTCGACAAGAACACTTGGAAATGTTTAGAAATACTTGATGCTGTTTTATGACTCCACCCAGATCAGAATCTCCAAAGGTGGAGCCAGCAAAGGAGCTGAGTGATTACATAAAAAAAAAAAAAAATGTAATGGCATTTACAGAATTATTCAATGTCGTGATTAAATTAGGTTAATGGATCCAGAGGTAACACAGATATCAACAGGTAAAAGTTACTAGAGGGTATAGAGTTCATCTTACCACAATAAAGAACTTCCTACCAATCAGAACTCCTGAGGGAGATAGCTCACAGCCAGGTCAGTTTCAATCTGAAGATGCAGGATCATTTGTTTTCGAGGCTGGTGAGAGGTGAGTGCCGGCAGCAGGTAAAGGCCATGTCAGATGACATACAAGCTTCCCACCTAGCTTTGAGACCCTGAGGTTCCAGAATTAAAGCTGAGATTTTATTTGAGCAAGAATGCGTGGTAAGCATGTAAATGAGAAAATTTGGGCTTAGAGATTATGTGAATGTTTACTGTCATACAATTAGACATTGGCAGAACGACTGATTGAAACTAATGATATGAGGGTGGAGCCTTTATACACACACACACACACACACACACACACACACACACACACATATGAAGCCAGAATATGAACAACTTTTACAATGATTCAGGCAGACAGACCCCTGAATGGTAGACAGGAAGCAATCATGATGACTTCCCGTTAATCATGCCTTTGTGACAAGTCTACACTTTTCAGGGACTAAATTCATATTTCATCTGATACCACAATTTTATAAGAGACAGGGTTACAACTTAGACCACAGGCCAATCCTACATTTTCTCCACTGAGACTTACTTTGAGTTCCCACAGAGGGCTTAGAAAAGCCCACACAGTTTCCCATTGGTCGACTGGGTCTGAGGCTGGATGGGTACTCAAATAGAAGGGAAAGCCCATGGACTCCCACTTGGTTGGAGAAAATATTGGTTCCCTGAGTAAGAAGAGATAAGTGTCTTGTAGAGAAGCAGGGAGCCTCTGCCGCTGGTTTTCCCAGAAAACCCTGTGCTCCCAGCTCTGTCCCTCTTAAGGAGTATGTGGAATTTCTCTACCTGAGAAATCCAGGGTCAAAGAAGGGGCCTGAGAGGGGAGGCTTTGTCCATCCTTCGTTTCTGGAAGTTTGGCTCTGAATTATAGTTGTGGCTGCTGATGCTTCTCAGTTCTGCATGGAGAAATGAGGGGTGAGAGAAGGGAGAGAGAAGAGGCAAAATAGAGCTGGGTGAATTAGTTATTTTCTTGGGAGAGCTGTTGAATCTTTAACACTGTATAAGCAGGACCCTGAGCATTCCAGTTTTGATGACTGGCGATTTCCTTAGAGTGAAGGAGAGAAAGCAATAAAAATCATTCCAATTACCATTTATTAAGCAACTATCCTGTGTCAGGCATTCTCCTAAGAACATTTTTTCCTGTATTGATTCATTATCAGCCTCTTGAATATCTCAGGAAGTGGTTCTTACTATTATGCTACTTTAAGAGGAGGAAACACAGTGTCAGTAACTTGCCCAAGGTTACCATGTAGTCAGTGGTAGAACTGAGAGTTAAGCTGGGGCTGTCCCACTCAGGGCCCATGCTTCCCTAGACAGCAGTATTATATCCCTACGGCCCAGGGGAAGAAATTATGCTCAAAAAAAAAAAAAAGGTTAGAATTGACACAACTAATGAAGAGAAAATCAGAGCAAACACCCCAGTCTCCTGGATCAGGTCCAATGCCCAAACCTAAAAAGAACATCTTGGAATAGAACAGTGTCCCCAGTGTCACTTGCATCTTATGAAACTCCCTGGTTCAAAGAAACTTCCTGAACAAACTTCAGTAGAAAAGACTGACAGACAGATTGAGCCAAACAGAGACTGAGAATTCACAGGGCACCCAGAAAGAGCGAAGCCCTCTCTGAGCTGAGTGCTCTCCTTACATGAATTCCGCACAAACGACCCGGGTATTGACTGTAACCTCATCTCCGATCCCAGAGCCAGTTAAAGCAGAAGGGGATATGAAGCTTATCTCCCCCTGACTCAGTTCAGGCCTCACTGCCTCACATCACACTTCAACTCGCCAAATCAAGAGTTCTTCACACAACGTCATGGCTAACACCATTTAAATTTACCCTAAGTCACTTGGACCTTAATAGAACACTGTTGAAATGTTCCCTAAATAAATATCTTAGCCTTTCATAATTAATTAAGTGGTGCTCATAAACTAGATAAGGCGGACCCTGTTGTAATGAGCTCTTTTATTTTCCCTCATATAATTTTACTGATTACTTTTCACTGAAGTAATGTCTGTCTGCAGGAACCAAGTTTCCTTTTCTAAGCTTTGGCTTCCACGTTACCATTTCCTAGACTAAGAGATCCAAACTCCAACCCAGGTCAAATGGGTGATGGGAAGATTTTCACAAAGAAGAAAACAGACTACTTTTAATCAAAATGAGCTTAAGAAGACAAAAAGGGAGAAAGAATATGTTTCCCACTTGCAGCCGGTACAGCAGGAATGAACTCAGGCAGCCACCCATGCTTACTGAATTGCTTACTTCCCAAGGACACTTTCAGTGAAGATCTGAAATCAGACCATGAGGAAGACTTTAGCCTCAAGTCAGGGTAAAACAGGGGTCTGTGTTCAAAAGAACTGGGCTTGAACGAGAACCTAATTCCTCATCATACAGTGGTACCAGAATTCACTGGGTAGGGACCCCAAGGATACAGAAGTGCCAACTCTTGGAACAACTTCACCACTCATCTGGAAACAGAATCTGATACCTCCTAAGATGGTGCTACTATCCAAACTGCCAATACCTACGTAGCCCCGATACTTTCAGTCATATGTTATGTCTATGAATAGTCATTCACTGATTCAATCAAAAGGTCTACCTTCTTTAGTTTCTTAAACTGGTTTTGCAATTAGGTTCATGAAATTCAGAATTTTCAGTAGGAATGGGACATGAAGTCACCACAGCAAGGCATCAGTCAATCACTACCAATCAGTCACACATTCTATATGCTCTTCACACACCACTTTTGCATCCTGTACTGTCTCCCATATCAAGGCCCAGGAGGAATCTCAGGTCCTCACCTGAGATACTTGCATGAAGGATAACTTTGAAGGAAGAAAGTTTCAAGAGAAGAAAATTGGCAATGAAAGTACATCCTTCATCTCTCATTCATTTTTAATTCATTCCAAATTGAACAAATGACCCTTCATTGCATAGGAGTCCTAGGATATTTGTTAGGAAAGGAGATGAATGGATAGTTTATTAGGTTAGAAGACTATGAATTATTCCCTTGATTTTATTTTTTAACATGAAAAAGAAAACCCTTGCTATGAAGCTAATATGTACATCTTTACAGTCTTTTAGGAGAACTTGATCGTTTTAAGATATTTCAATAAAGGTTGGAAAAGCATCAGAAACAATTTCAGTGATAACAGACAAAGACACTAAAACTGGCTGAGTAATCTCACCTAGAACTCTGGTTGTTTGCCTTGAAGAATTTCATTTAAGTTTTACAGCAGAACTGATTCATTCTTAACCACCTACACTAATAATATATATATCTCACTCAGGAGGCGTTGGTCAGAAGATGGAAGGGATCAGGAGTGGCGCTCATCTCTGTGCTGCCATGAATTAGGAAGGAGTTTATAATGAACAACAGTGGGGTCACCAATGTTGGGGATGGTTCTGCTCAAGACAATGCTGGCCATGTTCCTGACCTACAGCTTCTCCCTCAGGGAGAAGTCATGGCACAAGTCCTTGCTTTTGCTCAGAATGACTTATAAAGGAACATATGGGATTTGCATTTGACACCTAGGATCAACACTGTAAGGAACTATACAGAATTTTTTCTTAGCACGGAGGCTTCAATCAAGCAACAGAAGCCCCACGTATTAGAAGCTTTTTGTACAGTCATCATTAATTGAAAATCCAACAATGAGTCCACAGGCTAGATGCCTTATGCTGAACATTTACGTCCCCACAAAATTTGTATATTGAAACCCAGCCCCTAATGTGACGGAGTTTGGAGGTGGAGACGTCAGCAAATGACTGGTGATGATTAGTGCCCTTATAAATGAATTCTCAGAGAGCTCAGCCATCCTCTTCTACCATGAGAGGACACAGAAATAGGATGTGTACCTATGAACTAGAAAGCAGGCTCTCACCATGTACCAAATCTGCCAGTACCTTGTTTAAGATTTTCCAGTCTCCAGAACTATAAAAAAATATATATTTGTGTTGTTTGTAAGCCTCCCAGTCTATGGTACTTTGTTATAGCACCACCAACTGACTTAAAATACCAGAAGGCACTGTACTGTCAAGATCAAGGGCCAACAACCTAAAGTCATGTGCACACATTCACAGACATAAACACATACACACAATATCTCAGTGGTACTGGGGCTCCATATGCCTTGCAGGTACAAATGGAGGTAGAGAACGGCACAGCAGAGCAGCATTTCCTCCTCTTTACTGGGAACCACAAATTCTGCATCTCTAACTTTCATAATACACAATTGTATAATTGTCATGGTCGGAATTGTGGGCATTTATCTTTCTTGACTCTTCTTTTCCTATCGGATATCCTTCTTAGGTTCCCGAGGATAGACATCCTAAAATCTGTATCAAATGTATTTTAATCTATATTCACCCATCTCTATATTTACCCTGCTAATTCTAGCCATCAAAACTTCTTGCCTGTGTCTGTCATCCCACTGGGTAGGGAGGCTGAGGCAGGAGAATTTTGAGTTTAAAGCCAGCCTCAGCAACTTAGTGAGACCTTGTCTCTAAATAAAATATAAAGGGGCTAGGGATGCGGCTCAAGCAGTAGCGTGCTCACCTGGCATGCATGCGGCCCGGGTTCGATCCTCAGCACCACATACAAAGATGTTGTGTCCGCTGAAAACTAAAAATAAATAAATAAATATTGAAAAATTCTCTCTCTCTCTCTCAAAAAAAATAAACAAATAAATAAAATAAGATATAAAAAGGGCTAGGGATGTGGCTCAGTGAGTTCAATCCCCAGTACCAAAACAACAACAACACAAAATTCTTGCCTGCGTTATCCCCCTAACTCTTCTCTTTGTCTCCAAGATAGGAGGTCTGTCTGTATGTAGTTTGCTCCACATTCATCTACTGATTTTTAACAAAGACATGAATATCAAAACCACATGTGTGCACGTAGAACAAACATTTGAGATGTTTTAATAGTTTTATAATGTAGAGGAAAAGACAAACAATTCAAATCAGCACAAATCTAAAAGGCAGAGTTAATGGTGTCCTTCTGATTTAGGCCATCTAGGGGTCATTGAACCTTCCTATAAAGGGACAGTCTGGAAATACTTTGCAGGACAAGTCATCACTATTACAATTACCAAAATCAACTATTTAGGACAGAAACATCCAAAGACAATAGGAAAAGCAAATGCTTGATTATGTTCCACTGAAAATTCATTTAGAAAAAAGCAGGTGGAAAAAAAACATCTGTTCCACACATAGTTTGCTTGTCCCTGTACTAGATCATTAGTCTCACGTTCAGAAAAAAGCAAATGTGTCCAAGTCTTTGGCACTGTCATATCTCCTCATCAGCATGGACTCCAAGGCATACTCTGCCAGAAATGAAAATGACCAACCCCAGTTTGATGTCCAGATGAGTTTTTAAATGCTCAAAGCCACTGGATACCTAAAGCACAGGATCATCTTATTATGAGAACCTTGGTCTTTATGGGCTGACCTAGGAATTTAACTACTAGTGTAAATTATATTTTAAAGGCAAAGTATATTATAATTAAAAAAAGAAAATACCACTTTTGTAAAGTCAGGAGCCACTATACAAGCTTTTGCAAAGGAAATGTGGTGACTGCTGGTTAGCCCTGGAATCTGGTGCACATCTCATAAGGCCTTTACTGTGATAGGGCATCTAAGAACAAAAAATTCAGAATCCATGTCAAATCATTAAAAATGCTTATTAGTATATTAGGAAAGATTCTAATGAATAAAGAATAAGCTTTGCTCTGGAACTTTCCGAAAACATTGATGAATTTCAAGTTTTGCATTGCTGTGCTGTTCCTCTGTCTTTAACTCTCTAATTCTCTTTGCACATATGAACCCATGTTCCTGATTCAGCCTTGTCTCTTTCTGTCTCCTCCTTTCTCCATATCTCTATCTTACTTCTCCTTCTGTCTCCCTTTGTTCCAAATTTCCTTCCATTGAAGTAAAAGACTATTTATGTCTCACCTCCATTACTGAGCAAGTGCTTGCCTTCCTATGCATACATTGTGTGTGTGTGTGTGTGTGCATGAATTTTATGGACAGACACATAAATATCAAGGTCAACCTAGTGTCTGGGACTCAATTTGAATTACTTACATAAGTTTTTTTTTTTTTCATTTTGTTTTTTGAAAGTATAGGGACTACGATGTCTAAGAACTGTGCCTAGTTTTACTGGTACAATTACCTTCAAACTTGTCTCTTCTCTAATTTAAAAATCTAATGAAGAAATGCCTGAAAACACTTGCTATTACACATTCAAAAGAAAAAAAGTGGCTTTCTTGCCATTGTCATAAAAATTATCTACAAAGACTTGTAATTAGAGGGATTTTTTTTTTTTGTCAAATTCAGTTGCCATGAATTAAGTATAATAAAGATAAGTTCACTATCCTATTATTTTTAATTTCAGATTTCTTAAAAATATAATACACATTGTCCATGCTCCTAGAAGATTATAATTTAATTTATAATCAAAACCCTCATTGATAATCAATAATGTTTTAGCTCTATTTTCCAGATTTACTTCACGTCTTCCACTTTTTGTTTATAAAAATATAAATGAATTCAATAAAAAGTTTACTAAGCTCCTATTATATAACAGATGCCCAATTAAATATTTGAGATACACTAGGCAACTCAATAAATATGTTTCTGCCACCATGGATTTATAATCTTACTATACTTGAAATTTATGTTTTCAATTTTTTTGTTTTGCCGAATAAATTTTCCTAGCTGTATATGTTGAGATATTATGTACAATATATAATTAATAATATGTAATATGTAATTATATAAATATTTAATGGCTATATAATATTCTCTCATATTTATATACAAAGTCACACGTTTTATTTCCTTTTGCGCAATAAACAAAGTAAAGAAAAACAATAAAAAGTTATTAAAAATTTAGCATTTGCCCTGAACAAATATGACAAAATAGAGGCCTAGAGCTGCCAAATTATTTTCATGAAGTTACAGAGTTCATAAAGAATGAAGCAATATTTCATACCCAAGGCACCTGTTTCTAGAGTCTTTGCTATTAATCATTACATTATAGTTTGAAGACTGCACTGTTTTTTCCCTCATAATGCATATAGTTTTATGTGGTTAACCAGGAAGGATGGTTCCCTGAAACTCATTCCCATTATGGGAAATACAAAGCAAAGTGACTATTTCCAGAGGAAGGGCCCTTTCTCAGGAAAGGTCAGTCTCTTCTTTCTGAAGAGCTGGCAGGACATGCCCTCTGTGCAGCAGTGACTCTCTACCTCTTGCTTGGGAGGATTTCACCCTGCTGAATTTCACACATTCCTTCAAGAAGTGATTGAAAGCAGTGAACTTCAACTTTAAAAAAAATTCTCATGTGCTCATGATGTGCAGGCAATCCCAGGAGGTTCAGACTCTGAAGCCTTCAAAGGAACCCTCTGGGAAAAGTTTTTCCCTCTTTCCAGTGTTCATAAAGATCATCTGAGGAGTATTAAAGAATGAGTATTCCTGTTCACTCCCCTGCCCCCTCCAACAAAATACTAATTCTGAAGTCTTAATTGACCTAAATTCAAATGTAGGTAACTCAGGGTCTTACCTCAATGCTAGCCCATTAGAAAGTCTATGGCTACCCAGCTCAAAATCTCTCCACCTGCTCAGCAAAATACAGAGCAAGTCAGGTGAGAACTGAGGACAATACTTCCAAAGCACAGTTGCCAATCCTTCTTCAATGAGTGTGGTAAGAAGTAAAGAGCAGAATAGAAGAGCTCTCTATCAGCTGGCCCATGAGTGTGGGTTCCCACGTGCTCTGCTATTCTGTTAAGGAATATGCCCATACTTTTGGCTCATGGGAACAGTCTGATGAGCCAATCACCTGATATCCTGTCTTAGTAGCAATATATTAAAAGGAATATGCACATGAAGTCTCTCTAGGCTTAACGACCAGCCTCAGGCCCCACCATCCCACCATAGCTTTCTTGGATAATAAGCTTCAGGTGATACACATGGGTGACACTACGTGAGCTACTCACAGGGATGCATAGAAGCCATCAAAGGAATTAACCAGGTCAGTGACCTGAAAACAGGGTCACCTGGAAAGGAGCATACACAGATTTTCCTGCTCATGTCAAGAGTTCTCCTCACCATCACATTCAACTGACCTAACAACATCTCTAAGAAACTCCAAAATAAACCCATACACGACTCAGATTTCTGCTGTGCCCCCTTTTTGGTAGGTAGTTTAGGGTAGGTTTCTTTAACATCTTTGAGTCTTGATTTTCACAATGTTAGAATAGATATAAAAACCTACTTAGAATTGCTATAAAGATTACATTAGATAATATGCTGATATGCTACAGTGAGTTTACAGAGAATTGTTTAAAAGATGTGCTGATTTTTACTAGTGTAGTTATAATTCAGCTTCTACTGGCCCATCTGGCTAGAGCAGTGGTTCTGGTTAGCAAACTGGCCCCTGCCCCATCACCAACCTCCAGCACCCCTTAGGTTCAAAAACAGCAAAGGGAATAATTGATAACTTAAATTTAATTGTATCTGCTTATAAAATATTTGCATCAATAGGCAATGTGTGGTTTGCACAGCATTACCAAAGCTTGTCATGCCCAGCCTGTTATCGGGGAGGATGTGTTGGAGCTGGCATCTGATTCCTCCTGCTGGATCCTGACCCATGAGCACCAGCATGCACTTCATTGCTTTTAATTTTCCAGGTCATGACCAATTTCATAACATCCCTCACTGTGATTAGTGCTGCCTATGTTTAAGCTTCCTGACTTAACTAGATTTCACCTATTACATTAGAGAGGGAACAAAGGGACTTCTACTGCATTCACCTCCCTGATACCTTCTGCAATAACATCAGCTTCAATTTATCTTATCAGTGAGGTGTATCAGAGTCCAACATAAGTTGGATAAATGGGGGCAGGGAGGCAGGCAGGCACCTCACTTGCAATAAGTCGTATCAGCACCCTGGAAGGTCATCTTTTAAAGACTAATAAATGATTCAGAGTTAGTCTAGACTAAGAATCTTGCTCCAAAGCCCAGTACATATAACTTGCGTAGGTTTTCCTAGAACTCTGTGCCAATCTCTACATTTCCCAGTGATGGTTTCTTATGGGCAGGAGCACAGGCTTCTGCCAAAGCACACACTGTGAATTCAGCTCTAACTCTTCCTTAGCACATGGCAAAACAGACATATAACCAAAAACCACAAAGTCCTGAGAGCACCCAGGAATCAGTGGAATGCTGGGTCTCAAGTCTCCGTCTCTCTTCCTCCCACAACTGATGTGTAAATCATGCTCCTAAATCAGTTGTTCCTTCCTCTGTTTCATCTCCTGTGAAATATAGGTAATGATGATCTCTCTCTCTTTTCTCTCTCAGGCCTGTCATGAGAATAAAACTAAAGTAATGTGACAAAATTCTTCAAAAGTGAACCATTTTGAAAAGTAAAAAGGCACCTCACTGATTTAAAGTGGCATAAAAACATTTGGGAGATCTGTAGAAATCTTTTATGTACATGCAAAAGTTCATGTAGGTTTTCCTACAGAGGATTTTTTTTTCCCCCTGCCTACATTTTGAATTGGGCTCTGTTCTTTCATTAAAAACCTTGCATGGTAACATTTCACCTTTGTTTCTTGTCAGCCTTTGGACTACTGCACCCCTGTGATCAGAGCAGAGCCGGGCTCCTCAGGAGTAATGGTGACATGCAGTGGAGTCTGGTTCCACTTCAAGGATATTGTTTGGCCCATTTCCCACCAGAGAACAGATGCCTTCTACACAGTTTCTAGAAGTATATGATAACAAATTAAGAATCACATTAAGAGAGGCCACAGAAATTGCATAAGTAAACTTAGAGATATAAAGAGAATTGTTAGTCTGAACAGCCTGGCTGGGGATGTCACTTGGTAGAGGAAGTTTACCAAATAAAACACTGCCCTCCCCCCTTTTTTTTCTAAATCTGCATATGAGAAATAAATCAGAATAAAAAGAAACAAAACCTCTCCAATGATATTTATATGTGCAAATAAAGGCAGTTATGTTTCTAAGAGACCACACAGATTTTGTGAGTATTTTGTGTATGTGTAGCTTTTCAGTTTCTTGTGAGCATAATATATACTACCTTCATTCCAAACTGATCTAATAGATTAGGGAATCTCTCGCCTTCCTGCATATGTTCTTGCTATTCCTCTCACATGCTGATGGTTATTTCAAAATTCTCCTTTTAAACTTTTCTCTACTATGCATGGCTCAATTTAAGCACCACCCTTGTCACAAGCCTGCCCAGCCAACCCAACCAGAAGGTTCTCCCCTCACCTTCACTTCTTTAGTGCTCTTGACATTCAGAGGATGTGCATCTTCTACTGTCTCAACGAATGTTCATAACTTATACCACTTCATATGCACTCCTAGATCAGCACCTGGGACAGATTAGGTGCTCAGAAAATATCTGCAGAATTAAAAGTTAATAAGATAATGTTATTAAATTGTCAGCACTATTTCTGACAGAGTTAATACCCCTTAAATGTTTGTAATTATTGATATCATTAGTAAAATACTCCATGTATTTTTGCACTTAATTCTATGATTTTAAAAGTCCTTTTTAAGAGAGAGATGAATCATTCTCAGAGTCAATATTTACTTATCTTTTCTAAATGATGTAAGTAAATGTCAAAGAGGTAATATTTATTCTCAGGTTAAGCACTTTGTTGTCAAAAATTATGTGTTTGCCAACCTAAAGATCATATCAAAGAAATCAATAAGGCTTTAGTACAAATATCAGTACCTGATGCAAACTAATGGCTTTCAAATTTTAGGAATTTCTGTACACATACATGTATAAGAACAATAGGGAAAAGCCTCATCATGTGAGATGCAAGGTTTGCTCACTCTCAAGGGTATCCATCGCAGTGGCATCTTTTTTTCCCCAGAACTTTGCTTTGCAAGTACAGGTGCTCAGCACTTTCAGGTTGGATACCTTAATACATTGGTTGAGACCTGAATGGGGCTTCATTGATGTTACCTACCATGTGTCCTTAGAAAGCAGAAAACAGGTATTTTCCCTAGTGTTGAGAGATAGACTGTAAGAAGAGCGGAGATTCAAATGGAAGTCATGTGTGTTCTTTTCTTCTACAGGAAGAAAGTGTTACTATGCATTAGCATTTTTATTAGAATCAGAGCCTTGACCATGAAAGGAAAATTTCAAGTTTTCTAAAGAAAGCCAATTACCTTATTCTATAAAAAGGTAATAAGTTAGTCAATTTTGAACTAAAATCAGATTTTATTGTAAACACTGAATGTGTTAATCCCCAAGGTTAGATCTCAAAATGTGCAGATGACTGCATGTTCAATGACTCACCCAAGTGTTGATTTCATGACTTAAAAGATGAGGAGGAGCATGTAAGAACAGTGTAATTACCACTAGAGTTAGCAATGAAATATGACAGGTGTGTGTTAAAATCATTCTGTTTTCACAAAAAGATGGAGTTTCCATATCTAGGATTTGCCTGTTCCCAACATCTTCTGAAATCCATACAAGGTGAATATTATTATAGACAGAACTTAAAAGACTCAGCTTTCTAAGTCTTACATTAAAGTCTACAAAGCAAATGTAGGTTTTGGAGTCAGATCAATGCAGATTCTAAATCATGGTTATACTTAACCTTTCATATGTCCTTGGCCAAATGAATTACCTTTTCTGAACCTTGGTTTCTTGTTTTCTTGAATAGGACTGATAATCACACTCTTACAAATTATTGTAAAAGCTAAAATATTAGGCATTTTACCATAAATTGGCCTGGTTTAATGACCAAAGCTGTTATTAATACATGTAGATCTAAAAATAGCAGAAGGCAAACATGCATATCAAAAAACCCGTGAGTCATGCAATTTGATAAATAAAAACATCAATGCTATCATTATCACGTAAGTTATGTATTACAGATAACTGCCTTTGGCTAATATCTCTTTGAACAACATTGACAATGCTAAAGACACTGGGAATGAAAAACTGAAACATTTAAATGACATGCAGCAAAAAATATGAGGAGGGTTATTAAAATTTACCATCTAAGCCTTATTGGTTTATTTGATATGATCTTTGGGTTGGCAAACACATAATAGCAATTTCACAAGAATCAATAAGTAAATGCTGGTTAGCATTTTGGGACTCAGTTGAAGTATCTAAGTATCTCTCTCTCTCTCTCTCTCTCACACACGCATACACACACAAAAAAAACACACACACACAGACAACACAAAGCACTAAGTATTACAAATACAACTAGAACATAGCACAGAACATTGTTAAGTAAATGGCACAGAGGAAACATGGTCTCTTAACAAATCATCTATTCTCAGAACCTTTCATGCCCCAAGATCCCCATAATTGGTCTAAATCTAGCAAAGGTTCCCATCAAGAAAGGCTGTCCCACATGACAAGGCTGCAAGTACTTATACTTGGATTTAAATTTGGGGAATTCTTCTTGACATTCACAACACACACACACACACACACACACACACACACACAATATGTGTAAGGAAAAGTTTTATCTTCAAACTTCTGTCTTAGAAACATGAGCAAAAAGGCAAAGTGAGCAAAAGAGGACAAGGAAAGCATCCAGAATTCTTGAAGAGTTAGAGACAGTCTACTTATTCATACCTCTGCTGCAGGTGGGGTCATAATCATTAGCCCTTCCTTAGCTACAGCTTTCAGCTAAAGATCAGACAAGTCCAAAGGGTTCACAATGCTGTGCACCCCACTTCTATCTTCAAGAGAAATCTAAGTGAGAAAATATAGGTCTCTGATTTCATCTTCAGATTTGGAATTTATATCTCCTTTAATGACCTGAGAGAAAGTGTATGACAATAATGTCCTTTTATGTGTATTAAGATCTGTGATTCTGTGCATTAGTCTTCAGGGACACTGACCTCACTTTACAGATGAGGAAATTCATATTGAGATTATGAGGATAACTTGTTAAAGGCACGTGACAAACACATAGGCCTAGAACTTAGGTCTCAAGTCTGATTTGCATTTGATCAAGTTGCCTCCATCTAAGAGGTTGCCTTGGACTTCCTACCCCCTAATTCACAAAACCAATAACTCTAAATTTTCCCTCCTCCATGAGGCTCAGACTGATAAATGTAGCTAGATGAAACTGATAAGCATTGTTTCTGACAATATGTGCATATATATTGAAAAAGTACTCTGTGTGTGTGTGTGTGTGTGTGTGTGTGTGTGTGTGTGTGTATGTGTGTGTGTGTGTCTGGGGTTGCATCAAGAAACTGGCTTCAGAGGCAAGAGCTCACTAGTTAGCAAGATTGGTGCTCAAATCTTCAATCACTCCCTATTACTTATTACAGTCACTAGCTTTTATAGACTTCACCATTTACACAAACCTGAACCACACCGTGTCTACTAGGCCTATGAGCACAAACATGTGCATTAAAAACTGGGCATTTTTTCAGTCATTTCTTCAATGAACAAATGAGAATTTGGTCTGCCAAAGATGCATTTCTTTCTGTATCATTCAGCCTAAAAATCTTCCAAAACAACGAGATAATCTGTAGCTTGTTAAACCCCAAGTTCCTTTTCCCCCAGATTTACATACTTGATATGTTTGAAGTCAGAAATTTTAACTACATAAAAAAGTGGAAAAAACAGTTTCATAAATTCAAATTTAACTGGGATCAATGATTTTAGTGGTGTTTAATAATATTAACTATTTTATATATAAGATACGATTGTTAAGATAGGGAATGAGAGTCAAGGTCTCTAGGAGATGGATGGAGCCTCTGTTGTATTTATTTCAACAAACTTGTATAGAAGGACATATAAAGCAAAGCTTGTATCCTGAAGGTTCAATATGAGGGTGGTGTGGAAGTTCTCAGGACAGGACTCTCAAGTCTGGCTGCTGCTGTTATAATTCGCCTCAATACAATCTCTTCTTATATTCCAAAATAGCTCCCAATGAGTAAATATTTATGTTAAATGCTCTAAACTTTTATTTCAAAAGCTAACAATGAGCATAACTAAAGTTACATGTCTCTGGGAAGGTTATTGGCAATTGCCTTACAAATAAAGATAGGGTGCATGGTGCTGGGGTAGGTAATCAGTGACCATTTCAGACTAAGCTTTCAATTTCCTGTTAATTTCCTGTTAATTAAACTAAATAAATAAGTATTCATTTAGTTTAATTTTTTCCTATTCACAATTACAACAGTCTTACTATCTACTTCTTTGTCAGCCTTTAAAATTTTGACATACTTGTAAAATGGTCTATAATCATCAAAACCAAAGTTGTTGTTTTAAACAATCTGCCAATGAGTTTCCAGGTTCACTTTTCAGTTTGGGCATGGCTCCAAATCCCCAACTTTGATCTCTGCTAGCTTCTTTAGGTCCACAGAAGCCCACCACAATCTCTCTCCCCAGGGTCAGCCTGCTATAATCTAGCAATCCCTTTTCTCTCCATAAAAAATGTCCAACTCTTTGCTCTTCACTAGTGGAGGTCAGGCAAGGGGCAAGGGCACTGAATTTCTGTCACTTGGATATTGACGTTTCCAAGAGTGGATCACATTTGAAAACAATCAATAATTCACCTGGAAAGTCCCAACTCTGAAACAAACAAGTATATACGCACACACACAAACACACAAACACTGGGGTCCTGAGAAAGAGTACAGGCTACCCTCTAAGTTGAATCCTTCTGAGGATTACAAACAGGGACTGAATGGAAAGGCAGTGATTATCCACTGGAGATCTCTGTACCCTTTCTGAATGATTCTGTAAATAGGTCACTTGGGGCTTACACACAGCATGTAAAGGGAAATCTTTGGGAGGATGTCACTGCCCCAGAGTTAACCCCTTCACCACATTTCAGGCACTTAATATCCTCCTACTCTGCCTGGTCTCTCCAGCTCCAGAAGCCACAGTGACAGGAAGTAGGCATTTACCTGGTCAACTGAAAGTTCCTTTTAAGGCGAGGTCCTGGAAGGACAGAGACATATCCTAGAATCGATACAACTTTTGGAAGCACGCATGCAAAGCCTTTATTTTGCACACATGCTAGGTCAGAAGCATGGTCCCCACAGCGCACGCACTTTATCACTTGCCACCCCTCAGCTCTGTGACCCCGCCCATCCAGCTTCTCTACTCACAGGCTGTTGTGGTCACATCAAAGCTGCAATCTCCTTATTGCAAACAGCTTCTTGTCACCGTTGCTAGCAGGCTGTTTGCCAACCTAGGCTCCGAGGCCCGTGGCTTTTCCTTACCCTGGCTCCTGGTTCCAGACTCCCATGGTCCCACAGGCTTCGAGTTCTTTAGGGCTCCTGCTTGCTCCCTCCCAGATCCCGGCTGGCGGCCCTCTGGGAGAGGAGAGGAATAGCAAGAGCTCACCTCGCAGCTACCAAAGAGGGGCTCCTGGGCTGGGGCCCAGGATCATGAGGAGTAGCTGAACCCAGGTACGCAGAGCTTCTGGAGCCCAGCGCCGGCAGGAGAGCGCTCAGCGCGGCCAGGGACCCGCGGTGGGTGTCTACGTCTCCCATCCCAGGGAAGGAGAGGGGATCCCAGACCCCAAGCAGCGGCGCCGGGCTCTCCGCTTTCGGCTAGCGGAGGGGGCAGACACTCAGCTCTACAACTCTGTCCAAGTTGGGCCACTGTGGGGGGCGGGCGGAGGCGGCGCCGGGCAGGTCGCTGCCGCTTGCGCAGAACGAAGCGCCCCCACGCGGGCTGCGGGCTGCAGCCTCAGTCTCGGGACCGTGGCCGCCAGCACAGCTGACACTTGGGGTGCCAGCCGCGGAGACCCAGGTACTCTGCTGGCTTAGCACACAGCTCAGCACCTCTGCAGGACCAGATCCTGGTACACACATGCACCGCCGTGGACCCTCCCCATCTGCTCTCCGCACCTCTAATTGTGGACTTTTGCCAGCATCTTGGGGAGGAGGTGGGGGCTTTCCTACTCTTTGCCTCTTGATCTCTGTACACCTTGAACTACACAGCACAGACAATGTGTCCTGGCTGGAAGACACCGAAGAACAGCAGCCCGCATCCGATGGGGACTGTGTATGGAAAGCAAGAGAGAGTCCAGTGATGTCTGATCTTGTGTGTTTGTTTGCGGCTTCTCTCTTCAGTCACCACACTTTACTCCCTTTTCCTGACCTTGTACAGCACTCATTCTGACTAAAAGCAGTCTTGCACAATGCCATTTGAAAAGGCCTTGTAAGTATTTAGTGGTAGCACACAGGACTTCCTGTGCACTACCAAGTACTAGAAGGTAAAAGCAATAAAGAAACTCAAAACTGTAACTTGCACTCTTTTAGTTTTCACACACCTTTGCAGTTTCAGGGCTTAGCACGAAAACAAAGATTCCTAGGAAACCGGTAAGTTACTGGAGACAGATCTATTTGGCAATTGTTGAACAAATGCACTGATTTATTTATTTGTATCGGTCCCCACTCTCGTCCCCTTAAGGCAACTGATACATCTTCCAAAATCTTGGGATAAAATTTACATACAGAAGTTAGTCTTCTATTTATGTGCAATGTGCTCACCATTAACTTGCTATGGGGTCTTGTGGAATCGCCATACTTGGTTGCCTAATATTGAAAAGGCCACAACTGAGGAACGATCTTCAAAATAAGAAATCAGTTTGATTTAAGTATCAACATCATAAAAGACAAAGAGACTGAGGACCTGTCCCAGATTAAAGGAGATTCAGGGGACAAGAAAATGAATTCTGTGATTCTGCATTAGATCCTAGGACAGCAAAAGGACATCTGTGGTTCAACTGCAAAACTTGATTAAGATCTGTAATAGTAGTAGTGTTATGTCACTTTTAATTCATGAGTTTTAAAATCATACTGTGATTCTGGTTGTCTAAGATGTTTATATCTGTGGAAGCTGAATAAGGGACAAATAAGAAATTTATTTTGGCAACTTTTTGATGTTATTTGAAAATGAACATGAAAAACAATTTTTATATGATGAAACTAATATAAAAGTTTTGGACAGAATGACCTTTAAAATTCTTTCTGAGCTAAAATTATTCCATTGCATGACTATAATATTTGCCAAACCAGCTCTCTTACTAGTGCCATTATAAAGTTTAAGTGAAGATTTTAGGGAAGAAAAAGTACTTTGAAAGTTGCAAATTCTTTTTGAAATTTAAACTTTTTTAAACGGAGTTTATTTTTAAGAAAAAAAAGTCATAATATTCCATGGTAGTCTTTATAAAACTAATAATCTCTTATAGGCACATGAAGTCAATACTCAATAAATGAGTATCAAAAAAGTCAGAGTATAATAATATAATAATGAAAATATATATGATGTATACATGATATATACACTGTGTACATGATATAGGTGACATATATGATATACATGTAATATGTATGGTACAAAGACATATATGTGTGTAGTTGTGTGTATCTATATTAGTTTCCTTTCATAGGAAAATTTAAAAATATAAAATAATATAATATAATATAATGGAAGCACTTTGAAGAGAACAGAGTAAATGTTACTTATTAATAATTAAAACTTTTTGAACATGTCCAAGAGAAACTTCTCTTGTACAATTACTTTTCCTAAGATTTGTTTTTGGAAGAGACTTCTGGATGATTCTATAGACAAGACTAAGACAAGAGCAAATGCAAGCAGGTATCTCAACCAATAAATTTCTGTGCTTCTATAAAAATTCCTAAATCATATATTGGCTAGTTCAGCCACTAATAGTTCAAAAATACCTTTACTGCCCATGAGTAAACACACCTGGAAAACACACCTGTGTCTTACTGATAAAGCAACATGATGGCTGCATGTGGTCTATACATGTAGATAGAATTTTGTGGTTCAAACAAAATGCTACTCATTAAAGTCCAGCAAAATTATTTTTATATCCTATCACAAATGTTTCAGAGATTTGCAGAAGAATTTAATATCTTTTTCTACAAGTCTTACAAATCCCTTTCTAGCCAGAATAAATGTGTAAAAATTATTCCATGGTAGGAATTCAGATTAAAATATCAATATGCAAATAGCTTCTCAGCTATCAATTCTTAATTTAAAGATTTTTAAAAACAAAATATACTGAAAGCACAATCCGTGAAAGAAAAAAAAATGATCTATTGGACTTCAGCAATTATTTAGTTGCCTTCAAATGTTCTTATTAAAACATGAACAGGAAAGATATGATAAGGAGAAAACAGTTACAACTCATATATCAGATTAAAGAATTTCTTCATTTGCTGTGCATAGGTTTTTAATATTGATGCCTTCCCACTTACTGATTCTTGGTTTTATTTTTTTAAGCTTAAGGGTTATGTAAAGGAAATTGGTGCTTGAACCAATATGTTGGTTGTCGAATCTGTTTTCTTCTAGCAGTTACAAAATTTCTGGTCTAATTCCTATGTCTTTGGTCCCCTCTGAGATGACTTTTGTGTAGAGTGAAGGATCGGATTAGTTTCATTTTTCTATATAAGGATATCTAGTTTTTTCAGTACCATTTGCTTAAGAGGCTGTCTTTTCTCCAACATATGATTTTGGCACATTTGTCAACTCTTATGTGGATTTGTCTTTGTGTCTATTCTAATTCATTGGTTTTCATGTCTGTATTGATGCCAATAGCATGCTGTTTTTGTTGCTAAAGCTCTGTTGTATAATTTGAGATCAGGTATTGTGATGTCTCTAGTATCGTTCTTCTTACTCAATATTGTTTTGTCTATTCTTCCAATTGATTCATTCTTCCAATTCATTCTTCCAAATGAATTCTGGAACTGTGTTTTTCTAGTTGTGAAGAACATTTCATTGGTATTTTGATAGGAATTGCATGGAATTTGGTTTAACTTTTGGTAATGTGGCCATTTTGTCAATGTTAATTCTGCAGAAGCTTATTGAAAGTTTCTGCACTGCAGAGGAAACTATTAAAACCATGAAGAAAGAACCTACAGAATGGAAGAAAATCTTTGCCAGCTATTCTTCTGACATGTTGATCAATATCTAGAATATATAAAAAACTCAAAAAGCTTAACACAAACAAAACCAAATCAGTAAATGAGCAAAAGAACTAAACAGACATTTCTCAAAAGAAGAAATATAAGTAGCCAATGCTAATATGAAAAAATGTTCAACAGCTGTAGCAATCAAAAAAATGCAGATGTAAACTATACTGAGCCGGGTATGGTGGCATACGCCTGTAATCCCAGCAGCTCGGGAGGCTGAGACAGGAGGATTGCAAGTTTAAAGACAGGCTCAGCAAAAGCCAGCCACTAAGCAACTCAGTGAGACCCTATCTCTAAATAAAATACAAAAATAGGGCTAGGGATATGGCTCAATGGTCAAGTGTCTCTGAGGTCAATTCCTGATACCCAAAAACAAAACACAACAACAACAACAAAAACTATACTGAGATTTCATCTCCAGTTAGAATGGCAATTATGAAGAATACAGATAATAATAAATGCTGGTAAGAATGTGGGCAAAAGCTACACTCATACATTGTTAGTGGGGCTGCACATTAATATAACCATTTTGGAAAGCAGTATGGAGATTTCTGAAAAGATTAGGATTGGAAGTACTGCATGACTCAGCTATCCCACACCTTAGTATTTATCTAAAAAAAAAAAAAAAAAAAAAAAAGCAACACACTACAGTAATACAGGCACATCGATGTTCATAGGGCAATTCACAATAGCCAGGTTATGGAACCATCAAGGTGTCCATCAACAGATGAATGGATGGATAAAGAAAATATGTACATGTATGTAATGGAGTTCTTTTCTGTCATAAAGGATGAAATTATGGCATTTTCTGATCAATGGATGGAACTAGAGAACATCGTGCAAGGTGAAATAAGCTAAGCTCAGAAAGACAAGGGCAAAATGTTTGCTTCCACCATATGCAAAAGCTAGAAAAAAAATAAGCAAAAAAGAAGTGGAAGGAGATTCTATAAAAATCCTAGGGATTTCAGTATAGGAAGGGGATTCAGGAAGAGGGGAAAAGGAGGGGATCAAAGGAGGAATTGAAAAACTAAAGAATGAAATTGACCCAATTATGCTATGTACCTATATGAATACACCACAGTGCATTACACATACACATGCACACACTCACAAACATATCTATAAAACACCAATTTTGAAAATATAGCACCCCTTCATGTTCAAAACACTAGAAAAACTAGTGATAACAGGAAAATATCTCAACATTATAAAGCCTATCTATGCTAAGCCCCAGGCCAACATCATTCTAAATGAAGAAAAATTGGAACAAGACAGGGATGCCCTCTTTCACCACTTCTATTTAACATAGTTCTTGAAACACTGGCCAGAGCAATTAGATGAAAGAAATTAAAAGGATATACATAGGAAAAGAAGAACTTAAATTATCACTATTTGCTGACAATATGATTCTAGACCTAGAAGACCCAAAAAACTTCACCAGAAAACTTCTAGAACTAGTAAATGAATTCAGCAAAGTAGCAGGATATAAAATCAACATCCATAAATCAAAGGCATTTTTGTATATCAGTGACAAATCCTCTGAGAGGGAAATGAGGAAAACTACCCCGTTTACATTAGCCTTAAAAAAAGTAAAATAAAATAAAATACTCGGGAATCAACTTAACAAAAGTGGTGAGAGATCTATACAATGAAAACTATAAAACCCTAAAGAAAGAAATCAAAGAAGACCTTAGAAGATGGAAAGATCTACCTTGCTCTTGATAGGCAGAATTAATATTATCAAAATGACCAAACTAGCAAAAGCACTATACAGATTTGATGCAATTCTGATCAAAATCCTAATGGCATTCCTCATAGAAATAGAAAAAGCAATCATGAAATTCATCTGGAAAAATAAGAAACCCAGAATAGCTAAAGCAATCCTTAGCAAGAAGAGTGAAGCAGGTGGTATCAGTATACCAGACCTTAAACTATACTACAGAGCAACAGTAACAAAAACAGCCTGGTAATGGCACCAAAACAGACTGGTAGGCCAATGGTACAGAATAGAGGACACAGAGACTACATAATTACAATGATCTTATATTAGATAAAGGCACCAAAAACATGCACTGGAGAAAAGATACCTTCTTAAGCAAATGGTGCTGGGATAACTGGAAATCCATATGCAACAAAATGAAATTAAACCCTTATCTCTCACCATGCATAAACCTCAACTCAAAGTGGATCAAGGACCTAGGAATTAAGCCAGAGACTCTG